AGAAGGCTCCAGAATTTTGGAAAACTAGCCAACACTTGCATAGGCTGCTCACACAATCCAATAAGCAATTTGTTTCTTTTTCTCCCTTTATTATTTTTTTTAAAAAGGTACAAAACACATACATACAATACAATATGAAACATAATACAAAAAAACTTAATAAAATGAGACTTCCTTATCCTTCATGTCTCGTTATTTCCTATTTTAATATACAACTTCACTTATTATATTAATTTACTCCTTTTCATCATATTTTTTCCACATAACCCTATTCACAATAATATATTTGTTATCTCCTATTACTTACTATATTCTAGCCACTATTCGAGCGATTCTTTCATTTTGTTATAAATTTACAATGACAAATGATCCCCATTCCTTCTGTCCATATTCAATCAATGGTCTCCAATCTTTTCTAAAAACCTCTATACCTTTATCTTTTATTAAACAAGTCAATTTACCAGTTTCTATATAGTCATACAATTTAGTTAACCATGTTTTTATTGTGGGAGTTTCTCTACTTTTCCACTTCATCGCACAATTTATTCTAGCTGCCACTATTAAATAGAACATCAATTTCCCATATTCCTTTTCCATTTTTTCATCTTCTATTATTCCCAACAAATACATTTTAGGATCTAAAGGAAATTCTATGTGTAATATTTTTGTTACTTCTTTATGTATTTCTTTCCAATATTTCCAATATAATTAGCCTCTTTACATTTCCACCATAAATGGAAGAAGGTGCCAACTTCTTTTTCACATTTCCAACACAGATTCAATTGATTTTTCCTCATCTTTGCTAATTTATATGGCGTAAGATACCATTGAAATTGCATCTTATAGAAATTCTCTTTTATGTCATAATTCAGAGTATATTTTAACCTTTCCCCCCAACATTTTTCCCACTGTTCCATTTCTATATTTTGTCCTATATCTTGCACCCATTTAGTCATATATGTCGTCACCACTTCTGTTTCTATTTCTGTTTTTAACAACATTTTATAAACTTTTGTTATTTTATTATTATTTTTGAGACCAATATATCCTCAAATTCCTTATCCATTACCCCATTTTTTTTGTTTTTCTATCTAATAAAAATCTTTCCCTTAATTATCTATATATGAACCAATTACATTTATATCCCTCTTGCATTAATTTTTCTCTTGTCTTAATTTCCATATTTAATTCATTACCCTGTATAATTTCATTATCTGTCAACCATTTATTTATGCATATATTGGCATTCTTGAAGAAGGCCTCATTTATGGAGGTCCATTTTGGGATGATATCTTTCCATTTAACTTTAACCTTCTGCCAAATTCTTAGGAGAGATCTCCTTATGTAGTGATCATTAAAATCTTTATGAACCTTACTCTTATTATAAATCAAACACCCATGCCACCCATATATATTATCATATCCTTCTAGTTTTATATTTCTTCCGTTCTCTAATTTAATCCAGTCAGATAACCAATTTAATACACAGGCATAATAATACATTTTTAAATCTAGTAATCTCATACCCCCTCTATTAACATCATTTTGCAGTAATTTCATTTTAACTCTAGGTTTTTTATTTCCCCATATACATTTTGATATATCCCTTTGCCATCTTTGAAAAGGTAAATTATTTATAATGATGAGGATATTCTGAAATAGAATAGCATTTTCGGTAATATATTAATTTTTATTGTTAAAATTTTCCCCAGCCATGACAAATTCATCTTATTCCACCTATCCATATCCTTTTTAATATCATTCCAAATTTTTTTCATAATTATTTTTAAATAAATCAGAATTTTTTATTGTAAAATTTACTCCCAAGTATTTAACCTTTCCCCCCCGAAACTTGGATTTCTCAATTATTCCCCCTTTTTTCCTTCTCTGTTAAATTTATAAGTAACATTGCTGTTTTTTCTCTATATATCTTAAGCCCTGCCATTTCTCCAAATTGTTTTAATATTTTTAGTAATTGATCAATACTTTTTAGGGGGTCCACAACTGATAACATCAAATCATCCGCAAAACTCCTTAACTTAAATTCTTCTCTTTTTATTTTTCTGCCCTTGCTTGCTTTGTTAACTGTGGCCAGGTGGGTGGGTGGTTCTTTCTCCCACCCCCATATCATATTATCTTCTCGTATTTTATTACATAATATTTCCAAATCTTTTATAAATAATAATGGGGAAAGGGGACATCCCTGTCTTACACCTTTTTGAATTTTAAAACCTTTAGTCTTTTCTCCATTTATCAATAGGAAGGCTTCCTGATCTTGATAGATCGAGTTTATCCATTTTATAAAATTTTGTCTCACATCCAATCTTTCCAAAACATTTATCATAAATTTCCAATTTAAATTGTCAAATGATTTTTCTATATCACAAAAAATTAAGGCTACTTTCTTATCTATACTTTTCCCATGATACTCAATCAGATTCATTAGGTTCCTCATGTTTTATTTTATTGTTCTATTAGAGAGAAATCCTGCTTGATCCTTATGAATTCAAATATTTAGCCATTTTTCAATCTGTTTGCTAGTACCATCACGTATATTTTATAATCACAATTTAGCAATGATATAGGCCTATAATTCTTAGGGTCAGGTTTTTTCCCTTATTTTCTTTACGTATTAACATTATATTGGCCTGTAACCATGCGTTCTGTATTTTCCCATCCAATATTTCATTCATCGTCCTTGTTAAGGGTGATATCAATTCCTAAGCAAAGGTCTTATAGTATTCAGGTATCAAACCATCTGGCCCAGGAGCCTTACCTCCTTTGATATTTTTATTACATCTAATATTTTCTGAGTTTCTATTTTTTATTCAATATTATTTTATAATCCTCTGATATCTTAGATATATTTTTTCGATCCAGATATTCTTCAATTTTATCTATTTTATTCTCTTCTTCCCTATATAAATTTGTATAATAGTTTAAAAATATTATTTTAATTTCCTTTTGGTCTCTGTGTATTTTATTTCCTTCTTTTATATTCATTATAACTCTTTTCCCCTGCTCTTTTCTTAATTTATAAGCTAATAATTTTCCTGGCTTATTAGAAAATTCAAAACATTTTTGTTTCAAATAACTTCTTTTTGACCTCTTCCACTGTTATAACTGATATTTGTTTTTGCAAACAATGTTTCTCTTCCTTTAAACCTTTTTCATTAGGACAGGGGTAGCCAACCTTTCCCCTTTAAGGGCCGAGGGACTTCAGCTCCCAGAAGCCTCAGCCATGTTGGCCAATAATCCCATATTGGCCAATAGCTTGTGGGATTCTGGGAGATGAAGTCCCTCGGCCCTTAAAGGGGAAAGGTTGCCTACCCCTGCATTAGGATTTATTTTCAATTGATTTTCCCTTAATTTAATTTCATATTGTAATTTTTCCAATAGGCTATCTTTTTTCTTTCTGCACCTTTCTTCATAAAAAATGCCTCTCATATAAGCTTTTGATGCCTCCCATAGGGCCTTTGCAGACTGCCAGAAATAGTGCAAATTGAGTCCACTTTAACTGCCCTGGCTAGGGAATCATGGGAATTGTATTTTTTTTGAGACATTGAGGCTTCTCTGTCAGAGAGCTCTGGTACCACAATAAACTACAGTTCCCATGATTTCCTAGCTCTGACTCAGGGCAGTTAAAGTGGACTCAATTTGCACTATTTCTGGCAGTCTGCAAAGGTCCTTACTGTATTTATTGGTACTTCTTTATCCAAGTTTTCGTTCTTGGGCCTCTTTTATAATTTTTTTTTCATTTTTTTAATAGGTTTTCATTTAACCTCCATCTGAATTCTTTTTACCAGTCTTCATTTGCATTACAATGGGGTTATGGTCAGACCATATTTTTGGTAGTGAAGTTAACTCATTGTTCACCCTCCACTCTGCCAATATTTAGGCCTTCATTACTAATATGTCACCATTATTTATATTAAGTCCTCTTTTTTCCTCCTTCAATGAAGCAGTAATGCTTTCTTCAATTTTTAAGTCCTTCTAGAGGGCAAAGCTATTCATCCATAGCCCAGATTTGGTTTTAAACAATCATAAAATTAAACATTTTCACCTTCTCAAATTCCTTTCTTTTATTTTCTCCTTCTTTTAATTTACCTGGGTCATTTGAATCCATTCAATATATTTTCCATTTATTCCTCAAGCACATGTACATCCAATAGAATCTCCTCCTCCTTCTTTGAACCTTCCATCTTCGATTTTTTTTATCCACACTAATTTACATATGATATTACTTGCTGAAGTTAATTGCTCAAGTCCATGAAAGATTTTTATAGATAGATTGTACTTTCTATACAACTTAAAATTGGTGGCATCCCGGTCTTCCTTTCAGAATCTACAACAATGTGGCTGAGACTTGCCCTCCAATCTCCTCTCTCTCTCTCTCTCTCTCTCTCTCCTTTCCTACTGCCATGAATCTAGATCCATTGGGGTTTCCAGGATCCAAGAGCAGGAAATTAGGTCTACAATGGGCTCTTCTGAATCCCCAATACCAAGGGGATAATTTCAGACCTTTTTGTTCTATTTTTGCAAGGTCCTATGGCCACGTTATTAGAGTCTCCCCCAGGAGCATTCCAGGGGACTTCTCAAAGGGACGCCATAGCCAACTAGCAATTTGTTTGTTTCTTTGATTGACTATTATAAGAATTTATGGCTTATTCTGGAAATATAAAATTTGAGGACTACACTTACCAGAATCCTCAGGTATGCTAGGTGAGGAATTCTAAGAGTTGTCATTTGGGAGCTGTAGTTTTCTCCTTAAAAGTAGGTGACTAATAGCATTCAAACCACCAGTACCCATCAGTCAAAATGGGAGTGAGCAAAGTGAATTAAAAAGCTGGATAAGACAAACATTATATCAAAGCTGGTACCCTGGGGAAACATGATCCGTTGAAAAGACCCTTTCTCCGATTAGCCAATGGCTGTATGTCAGATTATGGAAGAAGCTGGAACTAGGAAGTGAAAGACAGTACATAGACAATCTGCTGAGGGTCAGTGTGGTATAGTGGTATCATCATTGGACTATGACTCTGGAGACCAGGGTTCAAATCTCCATTCAGCCATGTAAACCCAGTGGATGACCTTGGGCAAATCATACTCTCTCAGCCTCAGAGGAAGACAAAGGCAACCCCCCTCTGAACAAATCTTACCAATAAAAGCTTGTGAAGATGTCGCCTTAGGGTCACCATAAGTTGGAAATGACTTGAGGGTTCATATGCAAAATGTTCTACGTCATTCATCACCTAGGACTGGGAAAGAATCCTGCCTTAAAACCTGAAGAGACTTGGTCAGTCAGTTTAGATAGTTAGATGGACCAGTGCTTTAACTTCATATAATGCAACATCCTATATTTAACCCATAAGTGGTAGCCCTATTCCTAACAACTTGCTCTTTCTTATTTCTTGCTGCTGCAATGGAACTTTGCAAGATGATTTACTCCAGAGACTCACCAGAATGAGGACTTTATGATTCAGGAGAATGTTTTTGCACAAAGAGCCACCACATATGCAACCAGACTTTATGCAGCAATAGTGGCACCAGCTTTGGCAGCTGTAGCCACAGTGAGGAAAGAGGGCAGCTCTCCTGTGGGGAACTAATGGGACTTGCCAATCTGAAGAAGTTGTTTACCTCTGCTTACCTTATAAGGGTTGCTTTTGGACTATAATTGCAAGAATCCCCCAGGCAGCATGGGGAATGGCCATCTCGGCAGTAGGATTTTTAGAACTGAAGTCTAAAAGAGCCATCTGATATCTATTCTCAGCCTCTGCTTTATCCCAAAGGCACAATTCGCACCAGAGAAAGAAAAGGACAGCATTTCATCCAGGGAAACTACTGAAAATAATCACTATTTCTTGGTGATTGGCCTCTCCTACAGCCATTGATACATTAATAGTTTATTTACTTGTCTCCACATTAATCAATGGTGGCTACTGAAGACTGAAGACTGACTGATCATGGCGCCTATTTTTAAGTGATGCTCAAGTGTGACAACATGATAAAATGTTGGGAATCAGTTTATCTCTGACTACCCACACATCAGTGCCAAGAACTTAGACATTTGCCTTTCCCCCTTTGGGATCCTTGGTTGGATGCAAACATTATATGGGTACCAGATTCCCTTGCACCCTTGAATATGTGTCAGAATTATTGCAGTGTTATAGAAATGTTGATGGTGGTGCTGGATCTTGCCTACAGCACGTAACAGTGACATTCATTCCATTATCTCTTCATGAAACCTAAAGCCCAAATCGTTCTTAAGTCTCCCACCGCTACTCCCCATTCCAAATCTTGGCCTGTGTCTTCTGTGACTAATCCAGTGTCATGAACTATTACATCATTTCTCATGTTACAGAGCAAAGCCCAAACAACTCTGCTAACAAATGTTAGGCTTAAGAAAAGCTATTTTAGATATTCATGAAGAAGTGAATGTTATTAGTATTTAATAAGGTCATAGCTTTTAAAAGACATGGCCTCTTCCCAAGTTGTATAAAAGAAAGTAACTGAAGCATGGTCTTGCTTAGTGCTGTGCTGTTTTATGTAAACAAAAGATGGGATCCCTGATGATCTACTTTGTGACTGAGCCACTGTAGTTGCTGCACAGATGGAAAATGTTCAGTTAGTACAACTAAGAATCAGTTCATCTGTCATTTTCTGCACTGGCTCCATCAGGTTACAGTCTCACCATAAAACAGAATTGCCAACTCACCATAATTAGCCTGATCTCTTTTTGTAGTTTTAATTGCATCTGGTTCTATAGAAATCAGCGATCCTATTTTACAGGATGGAAGGGAATATCATCCTGAATGTATGTCTGCACAGTACATTCACAAGTTTCTGTTGAAGGTACAGCTCTAGGGATCAATTAAAAAGTTGATAGTCCTATTCCCTTCATTACATTGCACCTTCCAATCATGACTCAGGGGCTGTACAGACAGGCAGGATGACATGAAGCTGCCTTTTCCCTAAGCTGCAGCAACTGCACCGCCTGTCCCGAGGATGCCCTAAATGGGGACAGAGTAACCGCACTGGGGGGGCAGTCAATGCAACTTTTCAAAGGCCATATTGAAGCCCCGCCAACTGCACCGCTGTACTCAAGGATGCCACAAAGGGAGATGGAGCAACTGCACAGGCTGGCAGTGGCTGCTTTAATTTTTTATCATTCTCTCAGGCACATGCACACATGTGCAGGAACACATCCCTGCTCACCTGTGCACCTGCACAGAACACATCATAGGCTGGTATCCAGTCTGTCACTCTCTGTGTACAAAGGTGACTGAAGTTCGGTATCCCTGTGCACCTGCACAGAACATGTCATAGGGTGGCATACAGTCTGTCATTTTGTCTGTACAAAGGTGACTGATGTGCATCATCCCTGTGCACCTGTGCAGGACCTGTCATATACCCACAGATCATGCAAGGATTCGCTGACCTTGGCTTCCCCCAGTAGAGGGTGCTGTAGACAAGTGCCCCTGTTTGATTGTGCCACCCTCGAGGCAGAGGAATGAGTTTATCAACTGAAAAGACACCTACTCCATCATCCTCTGCAAAACATGTCCCACACAAGATTGGGGGGGGGGGAGGGGAGTATTACTAGGTGTAATACTACACCTAGTATTATTTTCAGTATTGAAGGCAGTTAATTCTAAGAATAGCCTGAGCAGTGGTGTCTAAGTCATGATCAGGATGCATACATTCAGAATGATGTTCCCCTCCATCCTGTAAAATAAGATAACTGATTTCTATAGAACCAGCTGTAATTAAAACTATGAAAGCATGGTGCATGGTGTAGTGGTTTAAGGGTTGGACTATGACTCTGGAGACAAGAATTTAATCCCGTCTCAGCTATGGAAACCTGTTGGGTGACCCTGGGCAAGGCACACTCCACCTCAGAGGAAGGCAAAGGCAAATCACCTCTGAATAAATCTTGCCAAGAAAACCCAGTGATAGAGTCACCTCCATATGTCAGAAAGAACTTGAAGGCACACAACAGCAACCTACTAGCCACCAAGTCTGGATTTGTCAAATTCCCTTTTAAATTCAACTAAAGTCTAAGTTCTAACATATGTTAAATCCACTAAGTGCAGTTTAGGGTTATTATTATTATTATTATTATTATTATTATTATTATTTAGCATGCATATCTCCTAGTTTGGATTATAACCATTACGGGGAAGAAGCCTCGACTGTGGCCATCTACTCCCTGTTCTTTGACTAGTTCCTGCTCCAGGAGAGGATCTTTTCACAGGATTGCTGTTTGCTCAGGTAAGGAGTCTTTAGTAAACAATTGCAAAAACTATCTTGCATTAGCAACACCCCCAAATGATGCCTCAAAGACTAATTGACTTATTACAGCATACGTTTTTTGTGCATTACATCCCATTCTATCAAATTTGAAAAATCTGAGTCAACAGTCCTGGAAAGCATTCTTCAAATGTTTATTCAAAAGGTTTGAGTATCTCACTTGGGACACCCAAGAGTCTCTTAAAGCAACTTCTGAAAGATTTTCACAACAAAATCACACATAAGAATAGAATGGGAACAAAAACTGTATGATGTCTACTTAGGCTCTCATCTGTGGCCTTCTCTGATGTTGCCCTTCCCCTACCTCCTGCAAGAAGGTGGTTTCCACTGAGCACCTCCAGGAAGTGAGGGCTGCACAGTTAGATCTCATGCACTTCAGGCTTTTGCTTTTCTCTTTTTAATGGAATGGCTGGAATTCTACATCATATACATATGCATAACTAAGAGCGCATCCCCACTGATTGAAAAATTCCAGATTTTGTTCCTGTTCCTTATCATTTTACTCTGGGTTAACCTAAACTGACTTGGGGAGTTGGTATTATTCTGATCATACCAGGAGCTACAGAAAATATACTGGGATAAACAAAATGTGCATGGATTTCTAAAATAAAATCAGAAAGAACAAGAACAAAATCTGAGAAGATTAGAATCACAAAATCATAGAGTTGGAAGAGACCACAAAGGCCACCCAATTCAATCTCATTTTCACATGTGACTTTAAAGCCACAATTATATTTGTAAAATAGCCCCTTTGGTGATACTTATTACACAGCATCATCTCTGGGTCTGCAATCATGGTTAGGATGTCCCTTTTTCAATGACAGGAAAAACCTGTCAATAAGATCCTAATCGTGCGGCTCCTAATCTCATTAGACCACATGTGTGAAATGTCAGTGTCACTTCAGTTACAATATTGGCAGTCACATGGTATCACAGGCCCAAAACAGATGGCCCAATCCGGGACAGCACTGCAGTCCTGAACTGGGCCGCTGAAAGGAGCAGATTCTATCTACTCCTTCTTGGTCTGGTTCTTCTGTGATGGCGTGGCATCAGTGAAGCTTCAGGCCATGTTCGGGGTATGCCCATCTAAACACCACACCTCCAATGTGAAGCTGCATCATTTTGCCCATGTGTTTCAAGTCACAGTCTCCTCGTTTCCTCCTCTCCCTCCTCCGTCTTGTTATTCCCAAGCAGCCTGATTTAATTCATTTTCTTCTATTTCTTTTCTTTTTCTTTTTAAACTTAAATCAGATTAGTAGAATTCTGGAATTGCACTTAAAACTAAAACTAAAACTAAAAAATAAAACAAAAGGCACGTTGCATAGGGCATAGAGCAGGGAGGCAGATTAAGGGGGAGTGTGGAAGAGATGGCAGAAACAGCTCCATTTGCATGATTGATGAGATGTACAATAATGGCTCCTCACGAACATGTGTAATTCCATTTTCTTTAACAAGTGCAATTGCGGAGAGAACAGGGCTTATATGATAATGTCCTGGGAGTTTCTGATCTTTGTAATCAGTCTGGATAGGCAATTAGTGAATCCTGGCCTCATCTCTCTGAACCTACTTTACCAGGCAGCTACCAGATCAGGTGAAGGAAGTATGTTTAACTAGCAGTCAGGCCACAGGAGGATAACGTTTCTACCACTCCTCTTTTGCCAGCTAGTGAGGCTGTGATGAAGATTTGTAAGCGGGATCCTGCTTCTGATTGTCATAGCCTCACTGGCTTCTGGAAGAGACTGGCAGAAGTCTTGTTTGGGAG